TTTTTGATTTGCTGTTCGGTATTGTGTTTGATTTGTTGTTCAGTTTGAACTTTGATTATGACTCTGCATTCATATTTTTTTGTCTTCGGATATTATTTTTGATTTGCTATTTGCTATTCTGTTTGATTTGTTGTTCAGTTTGAATTTTGATTATGATTCTACATTCGATAGCATCGTGTATAACTTCATTCAGTTATAGTCTCTTTTATTCGATTCTGTTGGAAGAAGCACTGCAGTTCCTTTCATTTTCACTGTTACAGTAGAATTTATGTTGATTTTGTTGACAAATTTTCAGTTTTAGAGAGTAGAATAGGTCAGTTCTTGANTTTGATTTGTTGTTCAGTTTGAACTTTGATTATGACTCTGCATTCGATAGCATCATGTTTAACTCCGTTTAGTTATAGTCTCTTTTATTTGATTCTGTTGGAAGAAGCACTGCAGTTCCTTTCATTTTCGCCGTTTCAGTAGAATTTATGTTGATTTTGATGACAAATTTTCAATTTTAGAGAGTAGAATAGGTCAGTGGTTGATTCTTACGTGCTTACAACTCGGTTCGTTGTCCCGTTTGTCCTCGTGGTAGTAATTTATGATCGCTATCTCCTCCCCCCCTCCCTTTCTAACGATATAGGTGACAAGAATCGCTGCTCTCTATTCCTCCGGTCTCATTTGGAAGTGTTTTAGGCGTTGGTGATAATTCCGCAGAATGTGACTGCATTCATGACATCTTGATGAGATATAAGAAGAAAATCAACAAATTGATCCTGTGTTGGGGAAGGTTTCGTTCAAGAATTGATCGGAGATATCAATGAACTGATCCCGAATTGATCAATTCTCAGTTGATCAATTGATCAAACAAATTGATCCCGCTATTTTGTAATCAAAGATGCGTTTCAAAAGCACTTTTGAAAGTGATAAATGAGATGTTAATCCATAATTATTTATCAAAACTCGTTAATTACTCCTTAACACCTTCAAATTGTTCCCATCCGGTGCCCTATCGAGAATTTCTTCTCTTTGAAAGCTACTCGAATAGATGAATGAGCATGTAAATACGCATATTGTATTCAGTTTGTTTAATGTTCATTGTTGTTGTGAAATATGCAATCGGATGTTTGTTCCTTCCGCATTGTATTCGTCAGTGTTATTTTTCTTTTTTAGTGCATATTTTGATAGTCTGATCCCAGTTTTTTGTATTGTCATTGTTATTTGTTTTGATAGTTTAACATTTATTTTGAATTGTTATATTCATCATCGAATGCAAAACATTGATTACGTGTAATATAAATATGTACTAACATCAGAAATTGTGTTGCTTGTCACGCACAGACCTTTTGAATGTCCTCACATTGATATGCTGAATTTGAGCACATTTCCAGTGTTATCACTGATCGTTACTGATAATTTGCATGAATGTGGTAAAATTATTGAGTCGATTGAGGAGGAATCAGAAATTGAATGTATGAAGCGGAGTTTTGAAGGTGATTAGAAAAACTGTTTCAAACTGGTATTCGAAAAGGAAATTTGGAAGGGACGTTTGAAAATTTGTGAGATTGACTAGGGAAAGTTTTGGAATTGCAGATCTCGCGAGTGACCGTTTCGTCGACGTGTGCGAAGTCGGAAGGTGTCAAACCGAAAGCCATGAAAAGACTCGTCGGGTGAATGTTTCTAATTCTTCATGTAATCTTTTTCTTAAAATGTCAAAGGCAATTGATTATTTAGTTGTTTTAGGGTTTGCTTTCAGTGTTAAAAAGTTGTTGGAAGCGTAATCATATGGAGTAGTCAAAACTGAAAAAAAATTAGTTTTGTTTCGAGGAGAGCGATTGATATGCATCGTGCAGTGGTGCTGTCTGTCTAATAAAAGCAGAATCGAGGCACTCCAATGCCTCGTCTTTTTTGTGTCTGATTTGGGTGAATTTCAGAATTCGAAGTAAACCGTATCCACCGTGTGGTATTAAAATCCATATGCCTGCGTCAAATTACGAATTGAGGTCACGTCATCCATCGTTGAAATCCACATCACCGTTCAAGGATCTCGCAAAAACTTTGCCACCGAATTCTGAGGCACTCATCGGGGTGAGTTTTCAGTGCCAATGCTTGATGCTTCTCATCGCATTTATTTGATGGCCATTGTTCTCGACATTTTACAGTAATTGTAACAACAAAAAGAATAGTAATAGCTGTGATATGATAACTTTTGTTATTGAACTGTTTTTTTTTCTGAAATGAAGACGTTTTCATATCAGTGAATGCGAATAGATCACGTTTGTTGCATGCAATGTGTTGGGTTGGGATGAATTTTCGACTTTTCAACCTGTTAAATATCACTATTCGTTTGTTCCATTTCCTTTTGGGGTAATCATTTCATGTTTATTCATGCAATTAGTCATATTGATTTGGAATTTTACTTCTATGAATCGTATGAATTTGAAATGCTTACAAACTCGATGAAATTACAGAAGCGACGGAGTCCTCCAATGCGTTCAACGTGACTGATAAGGAATGAAGCTCGATTGATTGGACGACGAATCATATCCAGTTGACTTCACTCACCTATGCATAAGAGTTTTTTGTTTTGATTTGTGTTTCGGTCACAGGCAGTGGGGAAATGAGAAGGATGCAAATAATAGTTATAGCAGGAAAAAGTAAATTTGAAATAATGTAATTATAAATGCTGAGGATAATTCGTTTGTTGTTTGGAAATGGTTTAGAGACTTATTCTNTTTTTTGTTTTGATTTGTGTTTCGGTCACAGGCAGTGGGCAAATGAGAAGGATGCAAATAATAGTTATAACAGGAAAAAGTAAATTTGAAATAATGTTATTATGACTGCTGACGATAATTCGTTTGTTGTTTGGAAATAGTTTAGAGACTTATTCTCCATTTAAAAAAATATTCAGGAAGTTAGTTGTTGATGGAATTGTTTGAATTGCAAGGCAATGTGAATGGATCGGGAAGGGTTTTTGCAATTCGTTGAGAATGCGAAACGCAAACTAATCAATCGTTTTGTAAATACGTTTGGAATGTATTTGTATGTTTGTAAGTAAATGTGTAAATTTTGAATTTGATTTTACGTTTCATAAATGTGCAGATTGTATGTGTGATTCACTTTACTTCATTTTATTAACTCGTTGTTTTGAGTGTTTTAACGATAATAGTGATTGGATTAATCGCAATAGTAATATTTGTAATTAATGTTGATATCTTAGAGTAGGTAAGTAAATGAAAGGCAAGTCATAGCTGAAAGCTAGCTCAAACTGAATAGCATTACTGACATTGATTGGGGCTCAATATTTAGTTAATGGATTGGAGCTCATTGGGACTCGACGAATTTGAATCATTTGCTGATCGTTGTAAACATTCGTGGAGAATTGATGGGTATCGCTATGGATAGGTTGATAGGACACCAGATTTGGAATTGAGATATCAAGAGTTCGAGTGCCACTCGTAGTAGACTGTTTTGTTTGAAATGGGGTAATCTAGCATTTGATAATAACCACTGATATCAACATTAATGTTATTGGTATTGTCATTGTTGTGATAATCACCATTGAAGAATATTATTGCTATCGTTAACGTTAACTGATGTCTTCTTACTTACAGTGACATTTGAATTCATCATGCTTAATTTCACTCTTTTGAACTGTAACGTTTTCTAATCATATAATATGATTTAGTTTAAAGTGTAGTTTGCTTTTCCTTTGGAATCGAATGCTGTGACTTCGTTTTCGTTCAGTTATTCCAATTGTATAGTGATATTTCTATCGAATGGTTTCTCTCTAAAACTTTTCTCTGTGTTGGGATAAGTTCATTCGATAACAGTGTTGTCAGCTTTCCTTCACTGATCATTCAATATTCATCTGTTTCTTATGTGATTCTGCCAACTTAGGTCAAGCTCCAGTCGAATTGCTACTTAAAATTGGATTGTTTCTATCCAAGGAGAGCTGATTCTCTCGTAATTTTCAATTTGCTTGAATAGCTGAATTTGCTTGTCGATGTGTGTGTGCATCATATTGTTGTCTATCCAAACTCTATGAAGGCACATTTTAAATGAATTTGTGCAGGTTTTGAAGTTCTTTCGTTGAACTTTTATCCTTCTCTATGCTTTTTGTCGTTCTTTAATTGGTCAGCTTTAAATTTTTGGTGTATAGAAAAGAGTTTTGATATCATCAGTATGAGGTTTCAGTTATTGTAGATGCGAGATGAAGGAATTCTTCAATTTCAGATGTTCTCA